CCTGTTTTACAACCCCTGGATGGGAGAGGGGTCCCGTAGGTGTGTCTTTAGCTGCCGCATACAAGGGCTTAGCTAGAGTGGCAAAGTTAGGTTTCCAGTGATGGAAAAATCCTACAAATCGTAGAAAGGAGAGGATTTCGTCGGCCGTTCTGGGGGGCTGTAGTGCAAGTAGTGTTTGTTGGAGATCTGTCATTAAGCTCTTAGTCCTGGGGGTAAGGTGAATGCCTAAACAGATTACCGAGGTGTCTGACAACTGTGCTTTGGAGGGGAAACCCGGTACCCCCGAGACCCAAGAAAACTAAGGAGGGTAGCAGTGTGTTGCTGCGACATGGAGAGGGAGGGGCTGCAGAGTAACAGGCCATCCACATACTGAAGAAGGAGACTGGGTTGAAGGGGCCAAGAGCTGAGGTCAGCTGCCAACACTTGCCCGAAAATGTGGGGCTGTCTCTAAAGCCCTGGGACAGAACTGTCCAGGTCAATTGTTGTGACAGATTAGTGTCCGGATCTGTCCAGGTGAAGGCAAAGAGAAAGTAAGACTCTGGGTGAAGGGGAATAGCAAAGAAGGTGTCCTTGAGGTCCAGAATCGTAAAATGAGAGGTAGTGGAAGAAAAACTGGATAGCAGGGTGTAAGGGTTGGGGACCACTGGGTGGAGAGGTACCACTGCCTCATTGATTAGACAGAGGTCTTGAACCAGGTGGTAGTTGCCAGATGGCTTTTGGACTGGTAAGATAGGAGTATTACAAGGGGAACTGGTGGGAATAAGGAGTCCCTGGGCTAGAAGTCGAGTGATGACAGGTTTTAGACTTTGGCAGTGGTTTCTTGAGATGGGAAACTGAGGACGGGAGGGAAAATGGGTGGGGTTTTTGAGGAATATTTTGACTGGTGTGTGATGTGTGGCCACTACAGGCTTAGAGATATCCCATACTGAGGGGTTAACTACCTCAGAAGGGATAGGGGGTTGAGGCAAGGAGTTATGACTGGGTGTGTTGTCAGTTAGGGTACTAGCAGATGGGTGGATGATGGGGTTGGCTGTGGGGGACTGGCGAGTTGGAGGGTAGCCCCTAGAGTTTGGAGCTCTAGTAAGGGATGCTTACTAGATCCCTTACTAGGATATCTCGTCCTAGTAAGGGAACTGGGCATGAGGGTATGTTTAGGAAGGAGTGAGAGAATGGGTGCCCCTCAAGGTTACAGGCTAAGGGATGGGTCTGGTTGGGACAGGAGGGCTTTCCATCAATTCCCATGACAGATCTGGGAGGACATATCTAGGTCCTGAGTATGAAGGCAGTGCAGAATAGGTAGCCCCCATATCCACCAAGAAGGAAATGGACTTACCCGCTACCTATAGTGATACCCTGGGCTCGGAAAGGGTGATGGAGGTCTCTGAGTCTGGGCCGCCAAGGAGCTCAAGCAAAGGGACTGCATCCTTTGGACTGGCCTGCCCCTCACATGGAGGTGTGGGAGGTGAGCCTGAAGTCCGGGACGGGCAGTCTACCTTCCAGTGTCCAGTCCATTTGCAGGTCAGACAGGGCCCAGGGGGCGGACATGGACAGGGGCACTGTCGGGCCCAGTGTCCCTCCTGGCCACACTTGAAACAGGGACTGAGTGGAACCTTCGAGGCAGTCTGGATGGGCCTTGAGGGGCCCTTCTGTAGGAGTTTCAATGGACCCCCTACACCAGACTGGGTGAGTTGTTGGCCTTAGGGCTGCTACAAGAGCCTGAGTTTGGAGGCTTACCTCTTGCTGGAAATGGGCCTGACGGGTGGCCTCAGCCTTTTCCTCTCGGCCATTGAAAACCTTAAATGCCATGTTCACCAGGTCTCATATGGGAGTTTGGGGGCCCTCCTCTGCTTTCTTTCGTTTTTTTCTAATGTCTGGTGCTGACTGGGAAATAAAATGGGCTGTTAGAAGGGTGGCCCCAGCTAGAGAGTCTGGGTCTACTCAGGTATGAAGGACCATAGCATTGGCTAATCGGTCAAGGAAAGCCGCTGGGTTTTCAGTAGGACCCTGAGTTATTTCCCACAGTTTATCATAATTAACTACTTTTTGGGCTGCATCTTGCATGACCGCTAGGAGGCACTGCAGCATTTGGTCTCAGCGGTGGCGGCCATTTTGGCCCGTTTGATAGTTCCAATTAGGGTCGGCCTCAGGGACGGCTACCGCACCAACAGGCATCTGATTGTTGGTGAGATGTACCTGATCAGCATATGTCCAAGCTGCTGTGAGGATGAGGTTATGCTCATCAGTAGTAAGGGTAGAGGACAAGATTACATAAGTGTCATGCCAGGTTAAGTCATATGCTTGGGTAAGAGAGCGAAATTCCTTGGTATAGGCAGTGGGATTGGCAGAGAACGACCCTAGGTGTTTCTCAATGGTGGACAGATCAGAGAGAGAAAGAGAAGGGAACGTGTACCCAGACAACTCCTTCTGCTCCATCCACCTCACAGAGAGGGCAAAGAAGGGCGCTTTTGTCGTTGGGAGCTCTGTGTGAGGGAGTGTGAGCACAAACAGGAGAGGCCATGTGTGAACCTGGAAGGGGAGGAGCAGGAGGAGGTTGGGGTTCCACATAAGGTGGGGGGTTAGTGGGTCGGGCGGAAGGGTAGGGAGAGTTCTGCAGGCAGATTGGGGTCGGAGAAGGAAGACGAAGTCGGCGACAGGGCTGAGGGCAGTGCAGGAGTGTCTTTGGCTAGGAGTACCTGGGCAGTATGACAGGAGCAGCAGAGGTTGGGGTGGGAGTGCAGATGCCAGAAAGCCTGAATGTAGGGGACCTCCACCCACTTGCCATTTTTTTTGGCAAAAGTTATCTAAGTCTGTCAGGATATTAAAGTCAAGTGTGCCCTCCGGAGGCCACTTGGACTGGTTGTCCAGGGGATACTGTGGCCAGGCTACAGTGGAGGAAGGTAGCCTTTTTCTTTTTATAGAAAGACCCAGCTTGGGGAGATTCTGAACCAGGCATCCTAGTGGTGACTTAGGGTTTGGGTGGGATTTTTGATTACCCATATTTTGCTTCTGGTAGTTAATTAAGGGCAAGGAGTGGACACGGAAGGGTATTAAACCAAAAATAGGCAGAAGAGCTCTTTTCCCGGAGGGGGTGGCTGGGAGAACTTACAGGCTGCAATGATTATAACGAGAAAGAAAATAAAAAGGGACAGGGCTAGAGCTATCTGCTACATGGAAGAATTTGAGGAGGTTACAGGAACCAAGCTGGGAAGCGAGGTTTTAGTGGTGGTAGAACAGTAGGAGAAAAAAGAACAGTTATTTCTAGGGATGAAAACTCAATGAAGGTCCCCTGTAGCCAGTGATCTGTTACCCACTGTAAAATATCTTCTACTTTGAGAGAGGCAGGCCTGAACCACTGTATATTGGCTAGCAGGAGCCTAATGACGCTGGCAAATCTACAGTAGAGACAGAACCACATGTAAGATTGACAGACTAAGGGTGGTGCCCCCCAGATGGGAAACCAATCTGATGCCTTCCTGGCCACATCCTCAGAGGGATATTTCAGGGTGTCTTGGCTAAGGGGTACCTGTATAACCCCCGGGCCGGGTCACCTCAGAACTTTTGGTCCTGAGGTGAATCACCATTATGCCTTATGACGTCTCTGTGGAACCGCGGATGGAGGCCCACACAAGCCCTGTAGCCGTTAAGCTGTGGGACTGCACATAAACTCACTCACTCACTCACTCACTCACTCACTCAGGAATAGAGAGAGAAACAAAGTTTGTAAGCAGGAGCTGGCCTGCCAACAGGCGAGTTTGAGATTGAGAGCTGGGGGTTCAGTTTTGGTCCTGGGCAGGGCCTGGACTTGTAAGTGGGCTTTTGATCACCCAAACCTCAGCCGCTGCTGTGGAGATGATCAGAAGGGTGGCTCAGCGTCCCGGACCATCCTACCGAACACCAGAGACTATGAGAGGGTTCAGGAAGGTGGGGACATTTCCCTCAGATTCCTGGCCCTGAGAGACCCCTTACGGGGAGAAGACGAGTGTAGGGACGTCTCTGCTACGCTCAGATCCTCGGGACGAGGCTGGGGCCCTGGGCCCTTGGCAAGGGACAAGAAGGAATCCCTGACGTGGCCGCGATTACAAGCAGGGAGTCCACAGAGCAGGCACCAGGAAAGGCTATGGGCAACAGAAGTCTTACCTCATGGCGGAGCGGCTCCTGGTCCAGCCTCAGGTGGAGGAGTCAGTTTCCCCCAGGAGGGGGGGTCTTAACCACTCCTTCTGGGTTTCGGCACCAAATCTAAGGTCTATTACCGAGTCAAAATGAGGAAACTGAGGCTAGTGTAAGAAAATGAGAAGCCGATTTATTCAGCTCCCGGGTGAAGTTCTATGGTCCAGGACAGGGCCAGAGAAGTAGCGCTTGACTTCTCAGGGCGTGGGGTTTTCTGGGGAGTGGAGGCGATTGATTGGTTTGGGGAAACAAAGCATAGGCGATTTAATTGGTTATAGGGAGACAGGGCGTGGATGTGGTGAGTTGCCACTGGTAGGTGGGCAGCAATTGATTGGTTTGGGGAAACAAAGCATAGGCGATTTAATTGGTTATAGGGAGACAGGGCGTGGATGTGGTGAGTTGCCACTGGTAGGTGGGCGAAACTACTGGTAGGTGGGCAGGACTACTGGTAGGTGGGCTGGCTGGGGATGTGATTGGTTATTGGGGAAACAAAGCATAGCAAGTTTTGGCGAGGTGTTTTTTGGCCTCGGGCTGGGGGTTGAGCGCTTAGTTTGGTGCTGAATGTAGATCTGGGTGCAGTAGCAGAGGTTAAGTGTGGGGAATTCACGTGGAGAATGTGGAGATGCGGAGTAATGTGCTCAGAATAATAATGCAGTTATCAGGCGCGAGCAGGGATGGACGTGTCCATTTAATTCCCGGCAAGGCAACTGGCCTTAACCCTCACGGTCATAATTTCAAAATACAATCAAGAGGGATGTCAATATAATAGGGGAATGTTGCCTCCTATCCGTCAGGAATATATTACAAGTATTTTTTTATTTCCCCGTAAACAGTTATGAATTCCAAGTGAAACCCAAAAACCCACTTGGCGAAGGCCCGGTCAGCAACACAGTGGCATTCAGTACTGAATCAGGTAATTACATCAACAGTAATTCCCAGAAAGGATGTAAAAGGGTCACAGTGGAGCATTGTTTTGCATAGGAAACTTGTTTGAAACCCAGCTAAACACCACATATATTCTGTGTCTCGAATTTTTAGAAACCCATTTGTAGGAAAAAGCAAATTGATGAAGGTTTAAAGAAACACCATGAATGTTTTTCCTCACTTAAAAATACATCAGTTTAATTTTAAAAGCATAATCAAGCTATACTCTTTCAAAAAGCTAGTGAACGAATACTCCCCTGTATGCCGAGAATCAAAATATCAGTGAGTACATCCAGAAAGGGAACCCCACGATAGCTTAGTAACAGCTGTGAAATTTTCTAATTAGACCTTACAAGCTCCAATTCCTTAATGAGACATCTGCACATACAGCATTAATATTTGCATAATTTTTATACCAACTGTAGTTCATGGCATCTTGGTAATTTCTACCATGAAGGTTTTTTTTTTAATCAAACTTAAAGGCAGCAGCTTTTGAAATTAAAGTGAAGGCTGGAACAGTGACAAAGGTTCCTCCCTACTCAAATTACACGTAACAGATACAACTGAATACCTACCAAGCAGGAGATTATCAAATCAAGAACAGTTTGCAAAACAAAACAAACTTTCAAATTCAATCCTTAGCAAAAATGTACAATTTTGCAAATAAAATTTCTTAACAACTGTAAGCACCCATAGTCTTCATGCCACATGGAATGTTGGGGTTTTACCTAGTAAGGGCTGACTTTTTTATTTATTTCTCCTCAGCGGACCCAAGAGTGAGTGAGCCAGTTTCTGGTAAGTACCTGTCTCGATGAGAACACAACTACATGTTTTTCTAAACTTACTCAACTGAACAGGCCGGGCAGAATGTGAATCATGACTTCACGTTTTTCCACTTAGTCTTCTTAAAAACAGCAAACAGGTATGAATGTTTGCCTACACATTGTACAACACTGAGGACTGTCCCAAGATGTTCTGGGAACAAGTTGGACATTCTGAAATTTGCTTTCACTCATGCACAGGGTTATTACTGTTTAGTAAGACAGCCAGTGTAATCCCAGCACTCTGAGAGGCTGAGGCAAGATGACTGCTTGAGCCCAGGAGCTGGAGACCAGTCTAGGCAATGTAGTGAGACTCCCTCTCTACAAAAGGTCTAAATATAAAAAATTAGCTAGGCATGATGGTGTACACATGTGGTCATAGCTACTTGGGAGGCTGAGGTGGGATGATTGCTTGAGCCCAAGAGGTTAATGCTACAGTGTGAGCCATGATCCAGCTTGGGCAACAGAGTGAGATCCTGTCTCAAAAAAATAGTAAGATATAACACCCTCATTTCCACTTTTAGTAACAAGTCGTATTAAAGCAGTTGTCTAAATTTTATAACATGCTACAAAAAAGAAACCTAAATTTGCTCCTAAAGGACACTGTCTACATCTCTCTACAGAAACTATTCAGCCATCTAAACACCTTAACATACTGCTCTCAGATTTATCTACTGACTTGACTTGTTTAAATCCTTCTAATATTTTTGGCTCTAATATTTATCATGGGGTTGGGGGGAAGGTATAAGCAAGTTGACAAATTTTGCAAACTGATTTCTTAAAGTCTAAACTGAAACCATCTGTTTTCCTTATGTAGCAGGAAGAGATGCCATCTGGACTGAAAGACCCTTTAATTCAGACTCTTACTCAGAGTGTAAGGGCAAACAGTATGTCAAAAGGACATGGTATAAGAAATTTGTAGGAGTGCAGCTGTGCAACTCACTCAGATACAAGATTTACTTGAGTGACTCCCTCACAGGTAAGCCAGGCTCCCAGCTCAGTTTTCAGTCCTTGACTTACGGGAATGTTTTGTGGCATTGTACAATTTGGCCTTTTTCTTAAGAATTCCAGGCACTAATGGGTGCTATAAACACAAGCTTTTCCTCTGAGCAAAATGTTACTGAAATGGTTATCATTCGTAGAAAGCAAGAATTTAAGGAGTGCTTTTAGAAGGTAAGTAATAAAAATGGAATTATAAAACAGAGCCATTGTGGCTAACTGGAATGCACTTTCACTAACCATGATCAAGCTCCATTTTGTTACAACCATCCAGGATAAAAAGCCTACTGACAATGAAGTGACTAACAATAATCATGGAATTAATATAGTATCTTCAAGATGCTGTAAGAGCTACAATACCTTGCTCCATACCCAATAGGTTATAATTTTCTATATTCAGAGTAAAAATTTTTAATAATAGGCTGGCCCCACCATAAAAAAGTAGATATTTTTTCAGTCATTCAACTGTTCTAAGTGCTGAACACAGAGCAGCATAAAAGGTATTTCCTGCTTTCCTACAGCTTACGCCTCCTTCCTTTCCTTAGTAAGGAGAGACAGACAATACATAAATGAAAATGTATAGAGGTACTTTGAAGAACATTTTGAAAAAGGTGAAGGCTTCTCTAAAAAGTTAGCACTAACAAAGGAGAAAACTGAGAAGGCTCTAACCACACAAAGGTCTAGAGGAAAGGGAAAGTGCAAAGACCTAAGGCAGAATACCCCTTCCCAGTTCCACGAGTATGGCCCAATAATCTTAGTAAGTGAAGGGGCAGGCAGGTGTGTAATCATGTGGACCTTTGAAATAAGGTAAGGACTTTGGATTTTATTCTGAATATAATGGGAGACTCCTGGAGAAATTTATGGAGAGAATAAACATCATCTGGCATGCATTTTTAAAAGATCATTCATCTCTGAGAAGGGGAGGGGAGGAAGAATATAGGAAGGCAAGAGACCAACGTTGGTTTGAACAAGGATAACAGGGAATGAGGGGAGAAAGTACAAAAACAGTAATGAAGATTATTTCAGAACTGTTACATATCAAAGTAAGAAAGTAACACTTTATCCTTTTCACTTCTGGTTCTTCAGGAAAATTTTATAACATAGGTGATCAGAGGGGCCATGGAGAAGATCACTGCCAGTTTGTGGATTCGTTTTTAGATGGACGCACTGGGCAGCAACTCACTTCTGACCAGTTACCAATCAAAGAAGGTATGTTTTCTGATCTTCCTCATAAGCAACAGTTTTACAGATTAACCCACAAAGAAATCAAGCTGAGGAAACCAATCAATTTAAAAAGAATTTTATAGTACTACTGCTCTACACATCTGGCTAGGAAAAAATGAAGACTTTAATATGTTTCTCAGCTTAGAAACTTAGCGCCAAGAGAAATTATACAGACAATATAAATAGATCCTACTTCAAGAAAATCTAAATTTGCAAAAACAGACATAAAGCAGTTTCCCAAACTTAAATCAATGTATTAATGTTATGGGTTTTGTCATACTGAACACACTTCCTTTATTTTTCTCTCCTTAAGAAACAAAGTTTTTAAACTACTGCTACTATAAATGGAAAAAAATAGTACATATCTTGCAAATAACTGTATAAATATAATTAGAATAGAATAATTCTGTGGAAAATGAATAACCTCTGTAAATTGCTAAAGACCCATTAGCACCAAGCTGTGTAATGAGCACTGAATAAGACTAAAAATTAATCCTTGTCTAAGCAGTGCAGAAGGGGGTAAATTAATTGTTCATATTAGTCAGGAGTCACCAGGAGGTTCTCTAAATAAACATTTGATTAATTTTTCAGTAACACATTTTGTTCACTGATACTTAAAAATACCAACAATAATAAAAGATGACCTACTAAGTTCTGTGAACACATTAATGGGCAGTGAAACTGTCACTACCAACCATCCCCTCCTAACTGGACCTGGCAAATGTCAACACCTTTTCAGGTGCCCATTTTAGCCAACCAAGATGACACCGTAGGAGAAAACACCAGAGCTTCTTGCTCTGTCTTCTAAATGACTTTGCTTCACTCAGATTAGCCTTCAGCTATTCCACATCCTTCAATCTATCAGTTATGAGGGCAAAAATATAGCAGCTGTTAAAATGAAACTATTTTCTCTCTCAGGGTATTTCAGAGCAGTTCGCCAGGAACCTGTCCAATTTGGAGAAATAGGTGGTCATACCCAAATCAATTATGTTCAGTGGTATGAATGTGGGACTACAATTCCTGGAAAATGGTAGATGCTGCACAAAGTTACCTTCTGTTTCATCACGGCAAACAAAATCATTGAAAACACTATGTCACATTCATTTAAATCTATTTTGTTTACTATGTATAAAATTCTACAATCTAATAGCAAGACTAGATGTTTATTATTAGAATAGATTGCTAAGAGTATTTATCAGGTTTTACAAAGTCATTTTAAGAAAGCAAGACATTGATGTTAACAGAATAACGTTTTTGGGGAAGCTGGCTCCCTATACATGGTATTTTAAGAGATCGTTTGTATATTATTTATCACACTGTTGTAATGATGTTTTGAGATACTTTTATAACAAAATTAACATCAAAAAAGTTCTATACTTTTTAAAAGAATATTTACTTTTATTGATGTGTATGCTTCCTATTGATGAATTAATTCCATAAATCTCTACTTAGTTTAACTTATTGGATCAAATTATCTTCAGCATATATATCTGGGGAAAAAAGGTCCGAATATTCACATTTATTTTTAAACTTCAATTTTTTAAGCAATAGCTGACTAACTTTTTGGAGGAGTTTAGTTACACATTCATGCTATTATACACTTCCTTTAAATATCCACAAATCATTGAAAAGATTAAATCAGTAAATTTCATTACAATTAAAAATGGAGTCTAATATATTGTTTCAAAAGATACACTTTTACCCATCATAAATGTTACAATATCTGAGTATACTTTGTTAAACTATCCCTTTACCCAGTTGTCTTCATATTGTTTTTATGATTCTAATGAAGGTGTATGTAGAGACTGAATGTGAAGTCTGAGCACGAAAAGGTAATGCATGATGAGATCTCCAACCATTTTACAGGATATTTACTATGTATTTATATGTAAGACCTCTATAAATGAATGTATCTGAGAATGTTTTTGTAACTGTGTAATGAAAATATGACTCATTTCTATTAAAAAGGTATTTTCCTTCAGGCAGGGAATGAGCATCCTTGCTGCACTGTTGCCATCATTCTGAAAGGACCTTTCCCTGTGCTTACCTTGCAACATGCTTCAATCTTCTCAATGCTACAATTTGTATTTTTCAAACAAGTATAAATTCTGCAATAAAGAGATGTAGTTTTTTTTAAGATGAGTTTTTATTTCTGAATGGTTCATCACTATGTTAACTATACCTTTTATCTCAGAAGGAAAATCACAAAGTTATCCAGGCTCTACCAAACCCCCATAATATCTGTTGTTTATGTCCTAAATTAACCTTTGATCATATCGAGTAATAAAGTTTGTTTATTTTAAACCAATGATTCCCAAATGCATTTTCTTTTTCAAAGAAAGGACAAAAATCAAATGGCACTGTTTCTCTGGATAGAAATCTGTAAGTTAAAATGTTTATACTTCAAGATCAAACACCAATAAGGATTTCTAAAAAATTGTTCTTTTTTCACATTAATGACTAAATTTCAAGACCACTAATGGATTCAATCATCTTTATTAACCTATCAGTGTTACACTGTATACATAATATCTAGTTGTAGTCTCAAAGGGCTCTACTTTAGTACATCATGTTAATAGTAAAAAGCCAAGTATGATGGCTAAACCTCACCCTAGCATCTTAATATCCTCTGGGCAAGGGAAGCTAGAAAGTCAATCACTTTATACACGTTAAGAGTAGTGTTCCAAAGTAACTAAGAAGCTGCTACGTTTTTTAAGCAGGGAGGAAAAAACTTTCATTTTGGTCTTTGTGGTCCAGCAAATTATACTTTCAATTAATAGCAACAATGGTATCATAAAAAATGCTCTGCTTTTTAAATTTCTGAACTTCAATACAAATTAAAATAATAGTATTGGAGTCTTTTGGGAGGCTGATAGCTAGCAGCTACATTAATTGGTATAGATGAGCCTCCTTATCGATAACCAGGTCCAGGTTGGGTATAGCCCTGACCAAAGGGAGGACGGTTACGTGCATAAGGATTAGGCCCGCTTGGAGGAGCGGTCATGGTACTTCCAGGAAGAGAAGTAAAACCTGGTCTTGGTTGATAGGCCCCAGGTTGGCTTGGAGCTATTCCAGGTTGAGAGGCAGGAGCCACTGTATAATTAGTAGGCTGAGAGGTTTGGGCAGTGTAAGTTTGTGCAGGATAATTGCTCGCCTGGTACTGCTGTGGCGGCTGAGCAGGCAGTTGTTGAGGCTGACCAGAAAAGGCAGGAGCTGGTGCCTGGGAAGTTGGTTGCTGGCCATATCCCTGGAATTGTTGAGGCTGCTGGGGTCCAGTCTGCTGACTATAGTTTGCTGAAAAGGCAAATAAATAACATGTATCTTATCTTTTAGTAAAGCTTTTCCAGAGAATTAGTCTTACCGTTATGGACCAAAAATGGTGAGAAATTTAACAAATATTTATGTAACAAGCAGAGTGGTAGATTCCATCATCACATAATATTTCAAGACCAAGAAGTTATCAAAGAGACATTTTCTACAATTTTTTAAACCCTCTGAAACATAATCCCTGTGAGCAAATTCCTGTTATAGCATAATTCCTAGACCAGAAGCTCAAATGATAAATAAAAGACTGTACTTTCTAGGAAGACCAAAAAACGGGAAAGCTAAATAGTCGTTAACCAGATTTTCAGGGGGGCCTACTTAACAACAGTATCAAATAAAAACACATTGCAGAGAATGAACATTTTTATATGAAATACTATAAATCTTATTGTACTAATTAATTAGGTGCTTTAAATTTTGCTCACTCTATAAAAACTAGGCCATTTAAGAATAAATACAAAGTACCATTTTAACATTCCTTAAAATCTTTTAAGTTTGGTATCTGATGCTTTTTGCCTTTACAATATTTTGACTTAGTAGTATAGCATAGCACATAAAAGTATACCATATTGCCCCAAAAAAAGCAACATCTATATTCATTATTTACTAGGATGTAATTTTTTTTTTACAAAGAAAGTCTGCTTCACTGAAAACTTTTATCTCTACCATGAAACACACCTGCAGCTACTTGCAATGAAACCTCTCCATTGACTGGAATCCTGTCAGCATTAAATACCAGATACATAAGAAAATTATTAAAATATGTACAACCCTGCATTAAAAAAAAAAAGGATTGAATGAATTTGAGTATATTCTGAACTCACCTTGAACCTGGGTTCAAAATTTACTCATGAAAGAAACCTTTATGACACAGTCCATGAACAAAACTGGAAAAGGTCAGAGGGAAATTGGCAAACCAACAACAGTGTCAGAGGGTCCAGTGTTACCACCACCACCACTCAGTCTCCAAGCAGAGTATTTAGTTGACTATTTCCATATCTCTCAATCAAATTCAAGTTAATAGACTGGTAGGATCAGAAATACAAAGATAATTTGAAAAAAACTAACTTTTACTCAGAGTGAAGACCCTGACTAAATTTATTAAGAGCAAGCTTAGTTCTTAATAAGTAAATCAAGTATCTTTAACGCATTTAACGCATGGTAACATCTAAATACTGAACTAAATTCATAAAAAATTCTGAATGTCATACAATTTGTCCTATCCTCTACATAAAACTTAAATTTTCACTATAGAGTTTTGAAGAAACAGATTGATTCAGCTTTATACTGAAATGCCTATTCATTTTAAGACTGCAAGAAAAAAGAAAACTCCCTTTTAATCCTGGTAACTGAAATCTAAACTTTTTTTAACTGAGCCTGGAGGTAATCCAATCCCTAATTATTGCTTAAGGGTGGGAATAACCCTACAGGCTGAAGATTTCATTAGCAGCCCACCAGTCTCTTGAACATAATGTGACAATGATTCTATTGTGTGTATAGTCTCCCTTCCATCCTTCCAAAATAATAACTTAGGTGAAGAACATCAGAAATAGCAAAACAATGGAAATATGGAAATTATGTGGGGTTTTTTTTAATACATACAACATCTAACCTTTTAAGGAAGAAGTCTGCCAACTCTGGTCTAGGTTGGGAGAATGCAGAATGATAAAGGGAAATACTGAATTGACCCAGCTCCCTCCACTGAATGGCTGTATGTGCTTTAACAAGTCATAATCTCTTTGAAACCTAGTTGCCTCACTTATAAAATGCAAAAGTCTGAGTCCCACACCCAATCAAATGAAATTCAAAATCTCTGGGAATGGGGCCCAGCTACACAAACATCCCCCAAGTGATTCTAAAGCATAGTGAGGGCCGAAATCCCCTGAGATTAAATGACAACTAAATCTCTTCGGCTCTGCTATTCTTTCTATAAATCGCACAATTTATAACACTAATTTTTTTAAAGAACTGCATCCTAAAAATAACCTTCCTCCTAATATAATCCAAACTTAAGTTCTATTTATTTTATACAATTAAAAACAAGTCGCTATAGGTTAAATCACTCTACAGCAAATATACTCTAAATAAAATTAATGACTGAATGTTATGATCTAGGTCAGGAGTCAGCAAACTTTTCTGTAAAGAGCCAGATAGTAAATATTTCAGGCTTTGTGGGCCACATGGTCTCTGTTGCAACTTCTCAACTCTGCCATTCTAGTGCCCACGTAGCAATAGAGAAGATAAAAATAAGTGTTCTAAGAAAACTTTACTCAAAAAAAACAGGCAACAGTTCAATTTGGCCTGTGGGCTATACTTTGCTGACCCCTGCTCTAGCTGATACCACAAAACTCCATAAAATAGAAGTTAGACAAGACTCAACTTGCATAAATTATTTTTAATTACAGTTGAAATTCTTATATTTAAATCTTTGGCTGTAAAACAAGAGTTGGATACAACAAACTCTCTCTGACATAAATGTAAAAAATACTGGAATCATAGCCAAAGATACATTAATAAGATTTATCATAGTTAAATACATATAATATTCAGTGGACAGATGGTAAAACAGAAAAATACCCAGGATGCTTATTTAAAACCACTAAACAAAGTTCTTAATTGCCAGAATTACAGTTTATACAACTTTATGGCCTGTTTCTGGTATTCTCACATACTTGCAAGAGATTTTAAAACCTAAGTAGCTTAATTTAGCTCTTATTTAAATGAGATCATCTTTCCATGTATGAATAAACTGTTCATATTTCTACAGGTATTAAAAGTATGCTAGAATTCTGTTACACACAAGTGGAGGGGAGTGGGAGCCTTGCACTAAGTCGCCTAAGAGGTAAACTTACATATTAGTGAGAGACAGCTTTGTATTAAAAACTTTGTACACTACAGGTTACTGCAGAATCACCTACTTTTAAGTTTTATTTGCCCACCAGAAAACTGAAATGTTGATTTATAATAGACGTTAGTGTAATTCCCCTAATAAAAACTTAACACCTATTATGTCAATGTACTACAAATCAAGGAATTAAGAAGAGCTTAAAGTTTAATGAGCGTAGAAACAAGCAGAAAACCATGAGCCAACTCCCTTTCAACACCTGCTCACCTGAATACTGAATACCATACTGTTGAGGCTGCTGAGGTGGAGCCTGCGGCTGCTGCGCACCATAACCGGCCTGTTGCTGGTACTGTTGGTACATCTGACCTAAAACACACACACACACACACACAAAGAAAAAAAAGGCATGTTTAATGCAGCAAAGAGAAATATTTTTAAGCCACATATACATTCTCTCTAAACAGTGTAACAATATACAAGAAAGTATTTGTTCACTTTTAAATGTCTATGAAGAAAATGAACCATTTAAGAAGTGTGATTGCTCTGCTGTGGATTAACTGGCAACAAACATTAAGTGTAACAACAGTGGCTAACATTTCATAAAGTCTAGAAAAACAAATGTTTTCAAACCCAGCTGCCAACAGTAATGCTAATGTTCATTAAAAGGCAAGTGAGCTGAAAATCAACAAATAAAGGTGAAAAAAAGGACAAATACCATTAATATCATCTAAGTCTTTCCTAAAGCACTGTATTTGCCCTCTAAAGGTTTGGACCTCTATTACCATAAGATCATTACCTCTATTACCATATGAACAAACTTTTGTAGCAAGGAACTACATGACATCTTTTGTTCCAGAGCTGAAAGACACTTTTGGAATTTGTCAACTTTGATTTTCTATGAATATCCAACATCTTTAACCAATAATGTGGACTCTAATTAAGCCTAAATGGTTCTTCATTGCACTATT